GCATACTGCAACCTCTACTTCCCAAGTTCCAGCGATTCTTCTGCCTCGGCCTCCTGAGTAGCTGGGGATTACAGGTGAGCTCCACCATACCCGGCCAACTTTTGTACTTTTAGCAGAGACGGGGTTTCACCATGTTGACCAGGCTGGTCTCGAACTTCTAGCCTCAAGTAATCAGCCTGCCTTGTCATCCCAAAGTGTGGGGATTACAGGCATGAGCCACCGTGCCCAGCCTAAACTATTTCTTTAAACTTTTTGAGAGAAAAGTCCTGCTCTTGTCCCCCAGGTTTGAGTACAATGACTTTATCTCGGCTCACTGCAACCACCGCCTCCCGGGTTCAAATGATTCTCCTGCCTCAGCCTCCCACGTAGCTGGGATTAAGGCGCCTGCCACCATGCCCGGCTACTTTTTGTATTTTTTGATAGAGACAGGGTTTCACCCTGTTGGCCAGGCTGGTCTTGAACTCCTGACTTCAGATGATCCGCCCGCCTCAGCCTCCCAAAGTGCTGGGATTACAGGCGTTGAGCTGCTGTGCCCGGTGAGTCTGAATTTTTAAAACTGTAACTATGCAACAAAAACTTAAAAAAAAATAAAAATAAAAAGGGAAAAGCAGGTCAACACAATTTCACTGTAAAGCAAACATCTGCAGTGTTAGACCTTGGTGTCTTCTTTTATTTCTGTTTCCTCCTCATTGGTGGCATCTGTCATTTCTTTCAGGTCAGGGTCCTTGATGCCATGCATCAGCTGGACGTGCTTCTCCAGCATCAGTCGCTTGGTAAAGGTACGTCTGGAGTCTGGGCAGTGCCTGTGGGGTGAAAGGCAAGGAGATAACGCACTTGCTGACAAAATAAGCTCCTGTGGAAGAACTCATGGTTGAAGGGCCTCCCGAGCCATCGTTCACACAGACAGGTCTAATGAGCTCAGTTCACACCACAGTTCAACACGCAAGCAGCAGTTTTGCTAGGAGTGTCCCTTAATTTACAGGTCTAGATGGCTTTAATTTTAAAGGGAAAAGGGAAAATATTGCATTTCAAAAGTTTTCAATGACTCAGTATTCTCAGAATGAGCACCATGCTGAACACGTTAGTGTAAAGTCCCTCCTTGACTCCTTCGTGCTGCTGTTAATTATTCCTATCCTCTGCCGTGACAAAGACATGAGTGTCCAGCCCAAATGCCTCCAAGCACAAAAGCAACATGCATGTTTATACTCATGGTAATCGACTATGTGTGGTCACTCAGTAGATGATAAGCAGATCAAAAATAGTTTTTCTTTGAAAAATAATTGACCTCTTTTCTTTAATAAAGCAGGCCAAAGATACTTTAGAAAACAGGTTGGCTGGGTGCAGTGCCTCACGTCTGTAATCCCAGAACTTTGGGAGGCCAAGGTGGGTGGATCACCTGAGGTCGGGAGTTCAAGACCAGCCTGCCCAACATGGAGAAACCCTGTCTCTACTAAAAATACAAAATTAGCCAGGCATGGT